AATGATTAATAGCTAACAAGCAATCAAACACAAGGAGAATAACATAAAAAACAAACAGAGGCACACCAGGAACACCTGAGCTGGGCGCAAGCCCTGCCGAAACTAGGGAAACCGGACAAGTTTCAGAACAACTACCATTTATGGTTGAAAAAAGATAATAAATTTTTTAAGAGGTGTGGGCTTAACAGCAGACTTTATTTTTGGAAAATCGACAGAAATTCACAAGACTAATACAAGAATGAAAAAATATCAAAACTTTTTTCAAAAGTGTGTGCTTGTGCATTCTAGTTTCTATAGTTCCTGAGATCTAGACGTTCATACAGACGGACAGACATGGGTTTTAGCACGGAGAACCTTTATAAGGCAGTTTAGATCTCTTGATTTTAGATGCGTCATTATGCGTCAGATGCGTCATTATATGTTTACCCCAGGCGAGCCGCTTGTCCAGGGGAATACTTGAGTATGTTGCTTCATTGTGAAATGCACGTGTTGTTCATAAGCAAGGGCGTACAGCTTTGTTTAATTAGGGAAAACGTAACCTGTTTCCTGTTTCTGTTCATTTACTCGTATGCGCCAATTTGCAAGCCAATGCAGCTATAATAAATGTCGTGCTAGTTGCATCGTAGCTTTTGTTGGGCATCTGGATCGAGTCGTCACCGTGACCGATTTATTCCATTTTTTAAGGAAGTGTCCAATTTTAGTATTTGCGTTGAAGAACGAGCAGATGTATAAAACTGCACACTTTGGGGATCGATATCATTTTCGGGTTTCTTAAAACGAAGCCACGCTATTGTTCATCCTTTAATTAATCTTTAATGACTTGTTTTTTCGCTCGGCAGAAATTCTATGGGATCTCGTGGTGCGGTTAGAGGTGGGAGAGCAAATGAGTTGGTGGCTGGATTACGTTAAAATATATTCTGAGGTGATTAATGAAGGTTCTTGCTCTGTCCGTACCATTACGAGACCAGTTTCCGGTTAAGTTACGCAGGGCTCCAACAGTTTCTGTTGGTTCCTGTAGATTCCTGTGGGCTTTCCACAGTGAGTTCTTTGCGTTGGTGGGCGTAAGTTTCTCGATGTACCGTAGTTGTACATCCACTTCTTTTGTCTTGAGCGCTTTAGAAAATCTCCGAGAAGCTGCCTTTAGTCTAATCTTTGCGCCAAGTGTCACTCTCGTCAAAGTCGTCGTTTTCGAGCACAAACAGTTCAGTATCTCGGCTTGTCCTATTATACTTTGAAACGTGGCCGTCTGGTGGACGCTTTTGCAGCTGCAACTAGTGTTGATTCTAGAACTAATTCTAGAACAAACTGATCAATATTACTCGTTTACCAAGAGGCTATACAAATCCGACTGAATGAAAATCCTGGTATTTGGAAATTTTATTTGTCAGTAAGGTGCGTCTCTGAGAGTAGCATGACATCAATGTTTTCGTCGGTTAAGAACTGAGCTAGTTCTAGCTTGTGCCGCAAAACGTCATTAGCGTTTTTTTTTTTTTTTTTTTGGGTAACATATGTACATTCGTTAAAATGCCAATCAACCAGCTTAATTGCTATAATGCGTTAGGGGTTCGTTGAATTGGCTCTAGTGACGGTTGATCTGTTCTTTGGCAGAGGGAATATGGAGGTCAATTGCCAGTTATCGTTTCTGATGTAATTCGCGATTACAATCATTTGCAGCACCCGGTTTTTAACTCTTAACTTTTATGACATTCGAGTCTGAGGTAGTGTCCCATATTTGGATGCAGTGGGTCATTGAGAATAGCAAGATTTTGTTGTTTAGGTTGAGCTTGCTTGAGTAGCCAGTTGAGCTTCTTAAGCCTTGCACATGTGGCTGCTAATTTCGTTGTGTGCTGTTTCCAGGTGAGCCTCTTGAGTAAACATAGTATACATACATACATATAAAACGGAACCCAGGATACTTCCCTGAGGAATGCCAGCACGAACTCTTCTGATGTTTGACCTTTAACCTTTCACCTTGACCATAAAGCGAACATAGAGCTTCGATTAGGCATGTAAGATTTCAGGAGGCGAAATTGGCCAGTCGGGAGTAGAGATTTTAACTTATAAATTAAGCCATCACCACATGCGGTCAAAAGCTTCCTTATTATGTTGTTTTATTAGAAACGAGCAAGCAACACAATCTAACATGCATGTAATCTTTAAAGCTTTGCTGTATCGAAAGCACAATCGCTTCAATGTTCCATGTTCCCGTTAGTGTTTGTTTGATTAATTGTTCGCTGAACGTTGGCTGTGTCTGCAGATGACCCTGATCCCTGATTTTAGTTCAAAAGGAAAAGTTGGGAACTATTATGTGATCGGCAGACGATGCGATGGTGGTTGTTGTCGGTTGCATTACTGTGCGAATTGTTGGTGTGGTATGATCTCTAAATGAAGTCACTCGTTTCTTAGGGCGATTCTTAATATCCTTGTAAGCAAAGCAGCCTTGGCAGATTGCTGTAAAAATACCACTATTGTTTAATTAAACTGTCGTTCTTGTTTCACGTTACTGTGAACATCGCTGCAAACGATGCAGATGGATTTTAGGGTGTATTACGCTTGTGTGGCATTCGGCTATTATTCTCCGGTGCAGTAGGAACGGTAGCTTATAAATAAGATGTACTTCGATGGTTCCACTTTGATTTTGAAGATTGGCTGCGGCTTTTTCTTCCTGTTAAGAATGTTGAAGGTTTTGGCGATTAAGTTTTCAGTTAGTGCCTCTATAATTTGTGTGGCATTCGGCTATTATTCTCCGGTGCAGTAAGAACGGTAGTTTATAAATAGGATGTACTTCGATGGTTCCACTTTGATTTTGAAGAGTGGCTGCGGCTTTTTCTGGACACAGTTCTTTGTATCTGTTTTGTTTCTTGTAATTTGTGCTTTCAAGGGTCGGGTGGGTGACATGTTTTGGTTGTTGCTGACTCAGCAGAAGAATACTGGCCATGCATGCATTTCGTGCTGCTACTCACGTGCCGACGTCGTTTGCATGATTTGTACAAGTTAAGTCTAATTCCGGTTTTGCAATCTCTCGCCACTGCTCACTGACACAGATTCCACCTCTGATGTCGGGCTGCCATTTTATCGTCATTCATATACTCAAGGTGCTTTCCACATTTGTGGTGTAAAACTCAGATAGGTGTGGAACTCAATGAAGTGGGTCTTAACCAAATGGATACAAATTTATTTACAATAACATTTTTTTTGTGTTTAGCTTCATGTCAGTTAATAATCAATATAATAGGTTGGCAAATATCTCCCTTCCGCTTTTTTGCTCTTTATTCAAAGCTTTATAAAAAGTGTTACAGTGATCGGATTTAGTTCAAATATCCGCCGTTTTGTTCGATAATCTGTTTCCATCTAGACGGCAACTTCATAATACCTCCCTCGTAGAAGCCCCCCTCCTTATTTGCGAAGAACTCGGACAGCCACTTTTCACAAGCCTCTTTTGAGTTCAACTTTACACCACCAAGGGCATTCGCCATGGACAGGAACAGGTGGTAATCACTAGGCGCTATGTCCGGGCTATATGGTGAATGCGATAAAACCTCCCATCCGAGCTCCCGTAGCTTCTGACGAGTCATCAACGAAGTGTGTGGTCTGGCGTTGTCCTGGTGGAACACTACACCCTTCCTGTTGGCCAATTCTGGACGCTTCTGGTCGATCGCCTGCTTCAAGCGGTCCAGTTGTTCGCAGTAGATGGTAGAATTAAGCGTCTGGCCATATGGGAGCAGCTCATAGTGGATGATTCCCTTCCAATCCCACCAAACACACAGCAAAACCTTCCTGGCCGTCAATCCCGGCTTGGCCACTGTTTGGGACGATTCACCGGCCTTCGACCACGACCGTTTTCGGTTTTTTGCGTCAAATCATGAGGCACCCAAACATCAAGCTTTTTTTTGTATCCAGCCTTCTGCAGATGGTTTAAAATGGTTTGGTGACTAACTCCCATCTCCTGGGCGATGTCACGAGATGCCACATGCCGGTCTAACTCGATGTATTCCATGATTTGATCGGTATTTGTCGTCACAGGTCTTCCGCCGGCTGGCTTATCCATGGTGTCGTTTTCACCGGCTCTGAATCGTCGAAAGCATTCCTCCGCGGTTCGAAGTGATAGAGTACCATCCCCCAAAACACCATTAATCTCACGGAACGTTTCTCTAGCGGATTTGCCTTTAACGAAGGAAAACTTTAAAATAGCGCGAATTTCGGCGTTAGTGAACTCCATGTTTACACGTCTATAACTGTTGAACGCAATATCCAAACTAATCATGCATAGCGTCGTTTTGTAGGTTATGTCAAGACCTTTCAAATTATGTATAGTATTGATACGAGCTCTGTAGCGCTTTGTACATAGCCGCGAAATTCAAAAGACAAAAAGGCGGACGGGAGATATTAGTCAAACTAATATAAGAAATAAAATAATAAAACCTATGTTATTATTAATAGAAAAAATGGGAGTTATTGTAAGCACGGCTTGAAATAAAGGCTACCAATCCAAATAATTTTAAAAATTTAGACCTATTAAAAAAGCTATGGCAGAGATATGTCCGATGGTTGCACAATTGCACAAGATATATACAAAAATGAAAAAATAAAAAGTGTGCCGTGACAGTTTTGTGCGGTTTCTAGGCGTAAGAGTGGGCGTGGCAGCATTTGGAAACAAACTTGCGCTGCGTCTATGTCTCTGGAAGCTGAAAGCATAATCTAAACATTCTAGCTTTTGTAGTTTCTGAGATCGAGGCGTTCTTACGGATGGACAGACGAACATGGCCAAATCGACTCGGATATTGATCCTGATCAAGAATATATATACTTTCTATGGTCGGAAACGTTTTCTTCTGCCTGTTACATACTTTTCAATGAATCTAGTATACCCTTTTACTCTACGAATGACTGGTATAAAAATTAATTAATTATAACGTTATTCAAATGATATACAAATCAATCCTTACAAAATCGAAATCTGCAAAGTAAAGTGTGAGTAAATTTACTAAACTTTTTTTAAGGTATCACTAGTCAAAGGAAAATACCCACAACATCTTATAAAGCTGTGGGAAAAATATGACGAGGAAAAGGGATCTGAAAACGACCACCCGAAACTTTTTGGAGACAATCAACTTTTTGTGGTCCTAGAACTGAAGTTTGGAGGAAGTGACATGGCGAATTTTCAATTTTTAAATTCCGAGCAATCATATTACGCCTTACAACAGGTATACATATGCATTCTAAAAATATAATATTTAATTTAATAATTTTATTTATAGATTATTCTAGCGCTTGCTGTTGGTGAAGAAGAGTATCAATTTGAGCACAGGGATCTTCATTTGGGAAATATATTAATTGAATACACCAATAGAAAGCACATAATTTTTACATTAAAAAACAGAAATTTAACTGTGCTTTCAAGAGGAGTGAAAATGACTATTATTGACTATACTCTTTCAAGAATAACAATTAATAACTGCTGCTATTTTAATGACCTCTCAAGTGATGAGGAACTTTTTCAGGCAACAGGGGATTATCAATATGATGTCTATCGAATGATGCGGAAAGAATTAAAGTAAGTAAACCAATCAAAACACACAATTTTTCTTCAAATATATTTGAGAATGAAAATATATGTAATAGACTGTGGATAAAGACATAATAGTCTTGGCTCACGCCAAACGACATCCAAATTTTATTTGTAAGAGAAAGTGCCCTGGGTCCTATTACTGCAAAGTATTTATTTTGCTTGGTCGCGCTGATGGTTCCTACCTGGTAATTCTTTTCTGTAATATCTCCTGGCCAACACGCATTACCTCATTCAATCGACAACTCAGCTGAACGTTTGGAATGGACATCGACAACCCTCTAACTGTAAAACAACATTAGGCGTGCTAATTTTGAATGATATTATGCACTGAATTTTGTAATTATATTTAGCAGAAAACCTTACTGAAAACAAAGGAGAACGCCATAGTTGAGTTATACAATTACCGGTTCCCCCTTGCTCAGCTTAAAATAAAATAAAATATGCACTTCGAGATCTCTATAACTATAAAAGTTAGAGACATAGAAGCAGCGCAATTTTGTTTCCAAATGTTGTCACGCCCACTCCTACGCCCACAAACCGCTCAAATTTGTCACGCCCGCAATTTTGAAAAAGGTCATATTTTTTCATTCTTGAATAGATCTTGTAAATTTTTATAGATTTGCCAAAATCGTATTGTTACGACCACTCCAACTCCCACAAACCGCCCAAAACTGTCACGCCCACACTTTTGAAAAATATGATATTTTTCACTTTTTTATATATATCTTGTAAATTTCTACAGATTCTATAGACGTTAAATTGCTCAATAAAACACCTCCATCGACTTCTTTGCCGATTAAAAGAGTTAAAAAAGAGGTTTATTTATTCCCGTAATGTTCTAGGTCTTCCTAGAAAAGCCAAGCTACAACTAAAAGCTAAGCACCATGTGTATTCATAATAACATAATGATCCAATTCTAATAAGTGAGGGTATGTGTGGGTATATGTTGTAAATAATCATTTTTTTATTTTATTTTGTTTTAGGAACAACTGGTCATCGTTTTCACCAAAAACAAATATCCTATGGCTTTCATATGTTATCGTTAAGTTACTGGATAGCGTGAAATATAAAAGTATCAATACGAAGGTTCACAGGATGTACATTGATAAAATAAAGGAATTGCAAAACATTATAATGACATTTGAAAGTGCTACTCATTGCGTAAATCATCTGTTTAATTTAAATCAAAATGTATGTATGTAGTTATTGAAGTCGTTGGATTATTAAAAAAAATCAAAGTATATATCAGTTTAAGAACATGAAAAATAAAACAAGTCAGGTTCTTTTTTCATATTACCACTTAATGTTTATCCGGACAGAAGGACTAACAGACCAACGAGCAGCGAAACGTCAATCAATAAAAATAATTTTAGTACGGATTCGATAATCAGCTGCAAAAATTTAATATCTATTAAGTTTACGCGACCCAGCGCTGCGTAATTTTCACCAAACATTGCATTGGATTCGCGTCATGTTTATTTCCGAGTACAACTTTTGTTTTTTTTTTCACGATGTTTTGATCGTGGTTAATGACAAAAAAAAGAATGTTTATAGCTGTTACAAGGTAGAAGTAAAACACAAGCCAGTCAGGACCTCGACTCCTGCTAAGAGTTTTGATGTTTATTTAATGTATGCTTCGTATCGTAGTCCAAGTTTGCGTTTTAGACTACCGACCGGCTTTCCACCGACTAGTAACCCATCGAAATCGAGTATAGGCCTAAGCGAAACCAGCTTGCTTTTCTGTTGAAACGGCTTGCCCCGGCTAAAAAATCCATACTATCGCCAAGTGAACCTGCTTAATACTTCCCAGATGAAGTACAGTTCCCGAGTTAATCTCCTCCACTTAAAGATGGCCTTTTAATAGAATAGAATATGCAAATGTACGAAAAATGAATGTATGATAGTACGCGATGCAACTTATCGAAAGAGTTAAGGAATTTGAAGATAAATTGTCAATGCAAACGGTTCCAATTAGAGCAGCCGAACGGTGCTCTGGCAGATCCTTTACCGTATATTTAACAGGGACGGCTAATTCGACGAGCTTTGCGAAAGGAATGGAGACCCGTTAGTCCAAAAGTAATGCTCCAGCAATTTTCTCGGGGTACAACCTCGCGACACAACGTCTGCCGGATTTTCCTTGACGCTTACGATTAGCTCGGCCAATAAAACCGCTGCGGAAAGGGGTTATCTTGAAATTTTTAAGGCCTTTGGTTGAGCTACTTTTGACTTGGCACAGAGCAGATGGATTTTCGATTCACTATTAATCTTCGCTCGCAAGTATAAGCACGATCCATAAGATAATATGCTAGCATCGCAGAATCCATGCAACTCAATGGAAGCCCTAGGCTTGATGACCTAAAAATGTGATTGACTGCTTATACAGCTCACACTTGTCTAGATTCAACGTCAATCCCTCAATACTTGTAAAACTCTCTCTAGTTTTTCGTACATCTCACCAAAAGTTTGGCGGATATCGTCCATGTAATGCGTCATGTCGCCTTTCTTCACACACTTCTGTAACTTTGCCATGAGTGTGCAGAATGCAGCAGGTGCATTGTTTAGCCCAAACGGAAGACATTTAAACTGAAATAATCCATCCGTGGTGATGAATGCAGTAAGCTTTCTGCTCTCTGGTTCCATTTCAATCTGATAATATCCGCTATTCAGGTCTAGTGATGAAAAATATGCGAAACGCTTCGCTTTCTTTATGCTTTAGCGCTTGTGATGACATCTTGTCCAAACAACAAATCTTCATGCAACAGATTGTCGTCGGCTATGTAAGGCTTGGCTGTCACCATTTTTCCAGCGATTTCGATATCCACTACCATAGCTTCGGTAAGGATACGTGAGCCTCCACATAGGCCAACAATTTTGATGAAGCACTCCTGCAATTGATTTGCGAATTATACTGGCTTGGCTTCCAGTATCAATGAAAACATTATAGCCTTTCTCGTTGATGTGGATTAAACGTGTGAACAGCTTGTCCTGATTGGATGCGCCCAAACGCATCACCTGTGTGGCTTGGCGAATTACATCGGTGGCATGAAACTTATTTCATTTGGAGCAACGCTTTTTTTTCCTCTCCATTGGGCATGAATTAGCAAAATGCCCGACATCTCCGCAATTGAAGCATGAATCTAGCTTCTCTTGGCTTTGATTGCTTCATCTCAGTTTCCAGTCGTACCTCAAAAATACTGGATTTGGGTAAGAACTCTTTCTTATTTGTATTGGTCCTCCCTCTAGTTATAAAATATGCCTCAGTAGCGTCCCGAAACTCCTTCACCGACGAAAAATTAATGCTGCAATACAGTTTTGCAACTCTCTGTGCTGTAGACCCGCTCTAACATATCGGATTACTGCCGATCACTAAGCTTAAATCGCACTCCAAGTGCTGACATACGGATACAATACTCCTTTACGGTTTCCTTCGATCGTCTGGTTGCATTTGCCATGTTGATACGAATTTCTGCCTCGTCCGGCTCTGATCCGAATTCCTCTCGTATTGCTGCCTCAAAACTGTTCCATGTTGTGTGTAAAATCGAGCCACATTTTGGCGGGACTCTTCAGCTTTGTGTGTATAGCAAGACGTACAAGTTTTTCGTCCCATTGATACGCATCTACCACTTTGTTGACACGATCGATGAACTGATTCACGGTGATCAAATTGTCATCTCCGGGGTCATAATCTGGTAAGGTATTCGCAATTTCCTTAACCGACGCTTGTCTACCATGGCTGATCGTCGCTTGATCTCCAGGGTTACGGTTGATAAAATCATCTATGTCAATTTCATCTTCCCGTTGCTGCCGCTGCTGCTGCTAATTAGCTGTTGGCATATTATTGACAAACAGGATGGCACAGTTGATGGCGAATTGGTTGGATAGTATCTGGAGGGATGTCCAAATCATAAATCGGCCTTAGCAGCCATTATCAAGACCCTGTTGATCATTCTGATGATGACACACTTACCGCAATAGTAAAGCGGTTTTGGGAATTTGAAGACATAACTTCGTCAAAGCCATTTTTGTTGCAATGCGAATACTTTCAATGCGAGCAACTATTCAAAAAAAATTGCACTCAACTTGGAAATTGTCAATACTCTGATCGCCTGATTCCTATTGCCTGGCTCGTCATCGTTTCTGGAGTTTGGAAGCTAGGCCCTAAAAAAAAACAGTATTCAGCAGTTTTACGGGAGTATATCGATCTAGGCTACATGTCTCTTGTAACAAGAACTATCGGTACCAAAATTCTTTCTGGAGAGCAGGAGAGTCCGAGCACAAAGCTTCGTGTCAGCAAAATTCAGCAAAAAATCTTTAATGTACTGCTTCGCTTTCGATTTTTTAAAGAGGGCCTTTGTGGAGATATCTGCAAGATTTACCGTCATAATCTGGTTAGGTATTCGCATTTTTCTTAACCGATGCTTTTCTACCATGGCTGATCGCCGCTTGATCTCCAGGGTTCCGGTTGATAAAATCATCTATGTCAATTTCATCCTCCCGTTGTTACCGCTGCTGCTGCTGATTAGCTGTTGGCATATTACTGACAAACTGTGCCATCATGTTTGTCAGCGTCTTCATTTGCTGTTGTAGTTGTGAAATCGCAGCCGCCTGTGCTGCGAATGATTCTTCTTGTTGGGTCATAATTCCAACTGCTTGTGGCAAATCCACTTCTTCCGAAATGTTTTGCGGTTTCCCCATCATGTTGCATTTATATTGCAATGGGGTTGATAATCCGTGATACTGTGAGTCACAACAGCTGCGAATGGAGCACGATAGCTTGTACCCTGTGCTTGCGCAAGAATATCGAATGCCTTATCAGAAATCGAGGTTTGCGATCTTCTATGATTCAAATTCAGTTGACTAGGCATCGACAAGGCATAAGTGCTCCAATTCTATTTCTTACGTAGACAATAGCAGTTGGAAGCAACACATAATCGATCGACTTAATAATATATTTGAGGTTTTTTGGTGGAGGGCATGATAACTAATGGTCACGTTGCAATGATGAATGAGGACATAATACTACTGCTGATAAATTAGATGGCAATGGCTCAAAGAGCTCAAGTTTGGGTCGCATGACGGAAATGAAGATGAGGTGGATGGTGCGGATTGGTCATGATTCAAGTGCAAGAATGAGTGGTGCTTCATCCGACAATATCTGCAGTGAGTCGACTTGTATTGCTGCAAATTAGGCCCTTGCGCAAACAGTTAAGTCAAAGGTGCAACTTCTTTGCTTATCTATATCATTCGGACTCAAATTTAAAAATCGAGAACCCTTTAGCAAATAATGATCCCTCGCATCGCAAAATAAACATAACGGTTTATTTGAGCGAGTAGCAGAAGCAATACTTGTATTTTGTTTATATTTGTGCAAGTTTTTTCCCACTGGCCTTGTGTTTGAGTTAACAAGGCTTGATCCAAGTTTTCATCCTCCTCCTTTTCTGAAAAAAAGAATCCTAAGTATCCCAGGTAGACAGCTCATTGATTGATAAATCCTCTTCCCATTTTTTCCGCAACCTCTGATCCTGTCAGTCTGATCCACTGAGCTCCCAAAGACCCGTTGATTAATTCTTTTCGACACATTTTAAACAATAATGCCTAAAAGCGTATAACTTTATTATCAAATCGATTTATCAGTAAATTCATAGGCTTTTTTTTAATTGGCATTCGAGGGTTGCCTAAACTCGACAGCAGATATTGTAATTTTTTGTCATTAGCTCATCATCATTTCCGATGACCGTGGTGAAAGTTGCGAGAAAATCCGGCCAATCAGAATAGCATCCATGAAAACGAGTAATTTCCAGTTTTAGCAACCGAGGTTTCCTCATTGTTAGAAATGTCAATAGATGTTGAATTGCCAGTAGCTGAAGTCAGCAGTTGCGACTTGCGATGAGCAGCTTGTCCTCGGTTTAGCTTCGCATTCACATCCATGAAAACTGCGGAAAATTCAAACCGATGGTCTCTCGAGATGCCCGTAAGATCAAATTTTTCCAACAATGTCTGCGCCGCATCAAACGCCAAGCTTAGGGAATTGATCCATTCCACTCGCGCTGGTAAGTTAGCTTCATCAAACTGATTAACCGAATAAGGGTTATAATAAAATTTCATCGAGTTCATTTGTCGCAACATAGATTGGGACTTGGCTCGGAAGAAGTCCACTTCACTTGGGGATTCATTTTGAGCCTGAACCGAGTTTTCCACATCAGACATATTCCAATTACGATAAATAATAAAATAAAATAAAGTTACCGAACGCGTCAGAGGCAACAAGTGTCAGCGAGATGCAATGGAACCGTTTACTTTGTTGTTGTTTTTGCCGGCAACTTGCCTGCGTAGCAATAGCGAATATAACTGGTAAACGATTGCGGTAGTTACTCTGTAGTTCCATCAACCGGTGAAACACCGCTCAGACAAAATGTTTATGGGGAAGGCAACCAATATGCAACCCTTAGGGTTCTAATTTATAAGAAATAGGTTCTATCAATGTATATGTGTGCCCTGATTTATTCGGAGATGCAGACCAACTAGCGAAAGCTTGGCTTCAAAATAATTAGTTAGTTGACGGATATCTAATTCACCTGTGGTAACTCGGCTATTTGGTATAACATTTATAAACTTTGGATCATAGGTTTTCCATATTTCTGCAAGTTCAGCTCTGTCGGTCTTATTCAGATTGCCACCCCTATTTATCGAATCCATATAATTCATATTAGCATTGCTGACTGTGTATCGACGGTATTTATTTTATACAAAACAAACTCTTTGGAAGTTATTGTCACACCAAACCGTACTTTAAATATTTGTTCATTAAACATACATGAAACATATTTTCTAAAGCAAAATTAAAAATCTTTACTGTAGCTAGAATTTGCATTGTGCATGATGCGGAGCATTCTTTATTCTTTTCCCATAAACTTATCTGCTAATTTTTCTTTTAATAGGTAAATCAAAAAAGTATAGAACGGGCTCACCCATTTGGTACGAATTCTCTCTTGGATCGATGACGGTAAACATATCCACTTGCTTCTCAGCCTTGATTGACGATGGTGTGCATTTTGTTGCAATATGGCCCAGCTGGCCGCACTTGTAGCACTTTAAAGTTGACATGTCCCTCTTTGGAATAAAGTTACTATGTGTTGAGTTACTATTGACTGCCTTCGTCTCTTCAACCATTCCGATTCGGCACTATGCGATCTTAAGGCCCTGTTTTCCAGCTTCCAATAATACACGCTACTAATCGCTTGAAAGGTCTTGGGAGTAGGCCGATCCGACTTCTGATGACGGAGACCCAGTCCGTGTTTTTCTTCTTCACTGTCAATATTTTCAATTGCAATTGTTCTCACTAAATGAACTTACGTGAGCGTCGCTCTCTCACTTCTTTTTTTTTTGTCTATTTGTCAGCTTGAGTATGCTCATTTGAGTATGCTCTCAATCTCTGAAATCCCTTTTTATTCATAAACTCGCTCTTTAATCTTAACAAAGCATAATAATATTACATTCAAAAATAATATATTATGTTGGAAATATATAATGCCCCGACTCGGCCTTCCTGACAATCACACGTCCTCGTGTGTTATGTCACATTATATTGTTCTTACATAAAATATTATTTTCCTTTTCTTTACCTTTATTGTTGTAAAAAAACTTTCAGCCATTAATGACCTTTTTCCCTTTCAAATAAAATAAACATGTAAAGGGTTGTGCAGCCGGTTGGAAATCTTTCATATTTAAATACAACATTTAATTAATATTGATTATTCTCAGCATCACCATAAATAGTGTGCCCCACCAAATAATATCACGCTGTACTCGTGCACACCATTCAAGCTGATGCTAAGTTAATCAATGGTTATTAAATGTTGTATGTAAATACATCCCCTTCAACCCCCTCCGTAATCAGCACAGAAATACGTTCAGTTTAATACAGCAACAACTTTGGAACAATCAAATTACAAAACAGTTTGTAAATATGTTTAAAAAAAAATAAATCGACAAAACCTAAAATTTTTCAAGTTCCAAGTTTTATTTAAAAAAGACGAATGATTCCTTCGGCGGTTAGAATCGAAGATGTACAATTTTTTATATAACGACCCATATATACCTTACCTTATTATTTTTTTAAATGCTTATCCTGTAGCTGGGCGATTGATTTATCATCTTAAGTTCAAACACCAAAGTTTCCGCTTTAACTTCAAAAATCACATCGTTTAGGTCTGAACATTTTATTTTACTATTACAGAATTGATGATTGCTATGCGGACAACTTTTAGATGTGGGTTTGGTATTTCAACAATTTCACTTACAAGTGTTGTGGCATTTTTTAATTTAATAATTAGTTTATTTAACTCTAAAAATAAAAGAAATATAATGGCGTCAATACACTGATAATTCTTAATAAATGTCATTTCTAATGATATTATATTTTGACTTTAAAATTATTGCAAAATTTGTTCCGCAGGTCAGGATGTTGTTACATTGTCGGTACCGAAATCGGTCAACATCGCTCTGAAAACTTGTTGTAAGATAAATCATAGGTTATTCATAATTTATGTACTTACCATTATAGTATTAAAGGTTAAGTCATATTTCTTTGATGCAGATTCGAGTTGATCCGAGTTTAAAATAATATGTTGCTTAAAATAGTAAATCGTTGAAGCATCTTTACTTTCCAGCATTCCATTTAAATGGTTTATCCTAATATTTCTATTGCTTAGGAAGTGCAACTTTTCGTCTATAAAAGACAATTCCAAAGAGTCATTGTGAATGCAAATGGCATTGCAAAATATATCCGCTATATTAGAAAGAGTGAATTGACTTCCTAGACTGCAAGCCTGCCTTATTTTTTTTATATCTGGTTTCTTTTGCAGCAATAACTTATTGTTCAGACTAAATCTCCCAGGAACTATTCTTCCACCAAAAATAGCACGAAATGTATGTCCACAACTTACTACCGGTATGTGAAAAAGTACAGCACATGTTTGGTTATTAAGTTCAACAAGTTCCATAAGCTGACTTTTAAAATTAGGCAAATGTTCGTTTTTCATTTTATTTAACGCTACAACCACGTTACATTTTTGATTAACAAGTATTTCTGTAGGCAAGAGGAGGACGCTGATGCGGTTTTCATAAAACGTCAAAAGCTTCCAAAATGTCCTCTGCAACAGGAGCCGGCTATCGATAAGACTGACCTTAAGCACAGCATATATACAACTTGTCTGAGCATCAAAATTCTGCGCTGCCTGTAGAAGAACATTATCCTCGACAATGCTAGGTACTTGAAGGTGGTACTCCAGTGTTATTTTAATAGGCGCACCTAATTTCTGGCTATTTTTACTCATAGAAATGAGTTGCTGTTGCCTATACTCCTTATGTAATTTTTGCCTTAGAAAATCGGGCTGTTTTTTATATACCTGCAAGGCTTTGGCGTTGTGCTGCAATCTCTTAAAAGCTGAGGGTGTAAGGTTTGGCGTTGAAAAATTCAACGTTTGACCATTCATTTCGGACATCCCAAAACGAATGCAATATAGTATGTTGTTGTCGCTCAGGCAAAACAATTCTTTTTTTTGGTCTATCCAACTACATCCGTAAATCCCATACACTGGCTTTGCCAAGGTGTAGACAAAACACTCGTCAAGCTGGACGTTGTACTTGAATCTCAGTCGCACCAGTTGGTTTCCGTCCGTGTAATAGAAATCGCCATTGTCACTTGTTGCATCGTAGTCCAGCCATTCAGAACCTGTGTGATACATTTGACGCTGTTTTATAGAAAGAAGTCTAGACATGTACCACATGTCTACACTGCCAGAGCTGAGAAAAACCAAGCATAGGTTCTCGATTGGCAGCAGTTTGATGAATTTAACGTGCGCTGCATATATGCATAGAAGCTCGATATTATAATCTGGACCGGTACTTTCTGATCTTTTTTTTTGTTTATGAGCCAACGCAAATACATGTCCAGCTATGCTAAATATGTAAACATTATTTAGTTCCACTGTGTTTGTGCCAAGAACACTTCGCACAAACTGTTCTTCCTTTTCGGTAACTTTTAAAGTTGTCAGAGTGTACTCATTATGCTGCCAGTCGCACTGAAATATATTTTGCTGGTCGAAAGTTATGTCAAATGTATGTTGCAGTGTACACTTGTCCTTTTCTAAATTAGGAATGTCAATATACGTCTGCAGCAGCAGTCGTCGATTGTCTATTCGAATGACGCTGAATCCTTGGTCGACAATAGCTAAACAACGAACTTCACTGATCCAATTTATTAAATTCAGCGCCTTAAATGAGGTAAAGCTGTATAACTCTCCATTCGACATATGCAGAATCGTGTTGTACCTCAGAGTATGCACACTCCTAATATAACCTCCTTCACCTTTGGGCAAAGGAATACGCACAGCAGTCATTTTTGTCCTGCAGCAATCCACCGGCATCTTAAAGCGTATGTTTAGCAAATAATACTTGTCCCAAGTGATAAACACAGACTGATCGTCAGATGCCGCAACTAGACAAAACCCACATGCTTGGAAAAGAGAGTCATCCCTGACCAACCATTGCCTCAAAACAATATCTTCGGACTTATTGTGGGGTCCCATATTTAGTGTTATAATAAATGAAACTTTGGCTGATTAAAGCGGGAATACGATCTTTATTTATAGGGGGAGTTCCTAAAACTAATCTGTATTCCAGTAACAACACAGACCCACTAAACACATCCCTGCAAATGACTCTTTTAACAATTACACTTTCCAAAGATTCACACGGACTCGAATTTCCCAGACGTTTTCCGAGATTTTATTTCGAATGTATTTTCCGTATGTAGTTACTGTCTTTTATAAAAGCCTTAAGGAAGCTACTTGCAAATCTTTGGTGTAAAAGCCCAAAGCGTCATCGCATTTTAAATTAACAAATGTTTTAATTTGATAAACAAACATTTTATTGTGGAGGTACCTCAAAATCCGGAAAATTTAAACGTGCATACTTATGCACATTTGTGCATGCAAAGTTCTGAATTACGATCTCATTTGGCTTAAATGATGTCTTAGATAAGATAATTTATAGATAATTGTATTGGGACGCAAAAAGGTGAATATCGCTTTTGAAACTTTTTCTATTCGTTCGTGTTCTAATAACAGACTCAACATCAACTACTCTTATATCACAACAGGGTTTGCAATAAGTTAACTGCACTACAAAAAAAAGATGACATACTTTAAATTCTAATACTCTTAACGGCTTTACCAAAAGTCAAAAAACAATTTTGTTATGCACCAAAGAAAGGTTTAAAAAATGCCCTTAATAAAACATGAAATATATTCACATTAGGGACAATATAACTCAATCTAGTGTGCCACAAAAGGTGAAAGCCATCGATGAAAGGGTTTTTAAAAAGAAATTTGCTAACAAATTTCCATCGTTGCACAAGCAGTCCATTTATTATACGTATTGATGTGATATGTTTGTATGTGATTTGTTAATTATATAATTTTTCATAATTATTCCTTAAAAACTGTTTTAGATGCAATTATTGCATAAAAAGGACCCAAATATCTTATATTTTATAAAGGTAAAGGTCTTCTGTACTGTTGCACGTTTTTAAATATACACATTTAGATGCAAAATAATAAAAAATAAATTAAAATAATTAGATGCATCGATGGTACTCACATTAGGATAATGAATTGCCGAACAATTTAATTTGAAAAGAAATGGCTATACTGTTATATGTATATAGTAAATAGCAAGGTGTGATGTTTAATGTTATGTTAAAATAGGTTAACCGTTTTTTCATATGAGTGTTTAATTAGTTGTTTGTCTTAGGACTGTGCATCCTGGTTCCTATAGATATGTAATTAGGACCTTGAAATCCTTTAAGGCCTACAAGGCCTAGCAAAACATATATCTGTTGCGTTTGTGCAATTGATTTATTTCACGAGGAAATATATAAAAATCGAAGGTCTATGTTTTTATAGAACAAATTTGGATATATCGGACTTCTAAAGTCGTTAAATATTTCTCTTATGTTAAATTCTGTTTATTTAGTAAATACATTTAATTTTGTAGTGTTTTTAATTTTAATATAAATATAAATTATTTAAGTTACTTATATTTACTTTCTAAGGATACAACTATAAGGTTTTCACCAATTTTTCGAAACCTAATTGTTACTACTATTTTCTCCAATGTGCAAGTTAAATTTGTACAGTTTTACGCGTAGTTCCCAACGAATATAACTCCAATTCCTCCCAAGCTGCCGCCCCAGTCATCCTATCTCCTTCGGTAATATTTTGGGCAATGTTAAGGAGCTTAAGGAGTCTTTCGATGATATAATCTTTAAAAAATAAGAAACAACAAAGTAAACATTAAACTTACTTTACTTACGTTTTGAGCTTGAGATGAAGATCTTAGTTCCTTTTTTCTGTTTCCTCTAGCTAATTGATTGGTCAATTGTTTTCTCAAATCGATTCAATCAAAATTTCTTTGCACTTTTTACTAAACAAGGTGACAGCAGTGGTCCTAACCGAAAAAATACGAATCAGGACTGGCCTATACAATTTATAGCCGTTACTTTTATAGTAAAAGAAAGCCATTCGAATAACAAGATGTGTAATGTCATACTATTATTTTGCACACGATTTTTTTTTTTTTGCTGGCTCTAGAGCTGGCTCCAGGCTCGCTCTAGTTTTTATTAAATAGCCAGAGAGAGTGAGAGCTACCTGTTACAAGTTCTTAGAATTTAAAAGTGTATTACTTTTGTTCATTGTCACCATGAAAATACTCTTATTTGCATTGCTTAAATATGATAATTATTCGAATAAAGCATAGAAATAGTAAAAGCCGAATATGCATATTTATATAATATGTACATTCCCTACATTACTTTATAAATATTACTTTTACTATATTTATTATAAAGGAGAGCAATTTTTGTTGCCACCAAAAAAGTAGCTGCATGTAATGCAACCAATGTATGGCCGGTACGCATCTAATTTCGTTAAAAAGTAAGTAGCAGGAAGAATGATGTGTTTCCGGTACCTATATTTGTATATTCTTGATAAAGATCACTACGTATGAACTTTGATGTTTATTAAGCAAACGGATTCTAGTAACGCAAGTAACGCAAGTGCAAGTTTGTTTCAAGACGGTGGCACCCACTCCGTCCATAGACCGAAAACTCTTCAATACGTTAATTCCCTGACATGGGAAAATTTTTTAGATTGCTTTCATTTCATATATGTCATGTCAATTAATATCGATTTGCCTATAACATTTTAGCCACGCTAAAAGCTGTCATGCACACAATATTGAATAAAAATCGTACATTTCTATAGATTTTGTGAAAAGAGTTTTCGACTATTTAGATTATATAATCTTGCTTTCAGCCGGTCTGTCCGTCCCGTATGAACGTCGAGATCTCTGGAAAAATAAAAACTAGAAAGTTGAGATTAGGCATGCAGGTTCCAGTGACAGACGCTGCGCAATGATGTTGCCACGTCCACTCTAACGCCCACAAACCGCAAAAAACATAATTATTAATAAAACATAAAACATAAATTTGTTTCATTATATTATCGATTATCCTATTTTCTATCAATATGATAGAAAAAAGTTAAAATCGTTTGCACTTCCCCCAGCTTATTAAGGGGTATCTGAATGACGGGGAACTCGACTATAGCGTTCTGTCCTGTTTTAATATGCTAAAATTCAATTGGTGTTACAGTAAAATTTGTAGTATTGTACATATGTTTTAAGGGTGTAATTAACAAGAGCACTGGTTAAGAAGTGTTTTTAGTTTTTACTATTAAATTAAATTATCAAATTCATTTTTAATACCTTTTATTTATCTACATATTTCAATCAATTTATTTTACCTACAATCTTACAATCTTTCATCAAATTTTCAATAAAATTACAATTTCCTTAAAAGCTGTAGGTAAAGGAGGTTTCATTTAAAAGAAAGACGGAGCTCCTATGTATGTAAATAGTAAGCCCTTGCACGCAACCATTATTATTTTAAAACAATATATGTATATTAATTTTTGTCACTATATTGATTGAAATTTGATTTTTGCATCCAAGAATGGATCTCCATTTTAGTTAAGAAGTGATCGTATTATTACTATTATTAATTCTATAATTCTATAATTAATTCTATATTAAAATTAAATTATTTTTAAAATAATAATATTATTATATATTTTTATTTTATATAATATATTAATAATAATAATATTTAAATAATTGAAAGTAATTGGTTTGGAAGTGGAAATTTTCCATAGTTAGTACCGTTCACACCTCTAATAGCTGTTTTCCCATCCTTAAGTTGAGATGTGGAATAATCAATTTATCTATTCTAGGATTCGAAAATATATTAAACTCAAGTGGGCTCTTCTTTCAAGTGTTCCATAATTCATGTTATGTCATTGACGCTGTCTTGCCTTAGATTGGATAATATTTATTAGTGAATGGTATATTTTAGTAAATTAAAAGTTCCAGGGAATACTGCCGCACTATTTTCCTTCTTTTTGCTAGCGATTTCCGGCGAGGTATGCGTATAATTTTTGAACCCCACGTGATTTTATTAAATAATTTATTTTATTTTAGCAGTTATATTGTTACCAAGTTTCAAAATGGTAGGTGTTTAGGACAAACGAGGATGGATTTTAAAAATTCAAAATATATGTTGAAATATAAGTGCTAGACGCCTGGAGAACAAATGGTTTTACCGACAATAATGTATTCAGGCACCTAAATGTTTTGCCTTATTTGTTGCATTTGTTTTCATATTTACAGGGTTTCGTTAAGGTAGTCAAGAACAAGCAGTACTTTAAGAGGTACCAAGTCAAGTTCCGAAGGCGTCGCGAGGGAAAGACCGATTACTACGCCAGAAAGCGGCTGACATTTCAGGACAAGAACAAGTACAACACTCCTAAGTACCGTTTGATCGTACGTTTGTCCAACAAGGACATCACAGTACAGATCGCCTACGCTCGCATCGAGGGTGATCGCGTGGTGTGCGCGGCTTATTCCCATGAGCTCCCTAAGTATGGGATCCAGGTGAGTTTGAGCACCTTGTTCTGCCTCACTCAACTTGATGGCCCATTATATTTATTCAAGGTTGGTTTGACCAACTACGCTGCTGCTTACTGCACAGGCCTGCTTGTCGCTCGCCGTGTTCTAAACAAGTTGGGTCTGGACTCCCTATATGCAGGATGCACTGAAGTGACTGGTGAGGAGTTTAACGTAGAGCCGGTTGATGACGGGCCTGGGGCATTCCGTTGCTTCTTGGATGTTGGACTCGCTCGTACGACAACTGGCGCACGTGTGTTCGGTGCAATGAAGGGAGCAGTTGATGGTGGTCTAAACATACCTCACTCTGTAAAGCGCTTTCCAGGATACTCTGCGGAGACCAAGAGTTTTAATGCAGATGTGCATCGCGCTCATATATTTGGTCAGCATGTTGCAGACTATATGCGCTCTTTGGAGGAAGAGGATGAGGAGAGCTTTAAACGGCAGTTTAGCCGATACATCAAGTTGGGCATTCGTGCTGATGATGTAAGTACACCACAGTTTTTCCGACGTCCATTTAAAAAATTACAGCTGCGTTAAGCACACAACGCTAACTGTGCCATAAGTGGACAACATAAAATCTGTAACCTGTGTTCGAAGTTTTTCTCTTAATAGATTAAACTTCCTGTTATGGTGACACATTTCATGCAATAAAATAACAAAATAGTTTTGTTGAAAAGCAGCGATTTCGGCCATATATATATAAATTATATATTTATTGTAATTCAGCATCACTAGTCGAGTAGGTCCTTCCATTTCCGTATATTCGTACATTTTTGTTGTTGTCTGCCTGGTGCGTGAACAAACAAATGACTTTAAGGCTAAACTAATATGCTTCTGTAATTTGAATCTGCTATTAAAATTCCTGAGATCTCAACATTTATGAGGCGGATCGACTGTGTTAGTGATCTCGATTCATAATAATATATACATACATAATATATGCATACTATTCTAAACTATTCAACCTCATCGAGTAATAAGTATACATTCAGATAACCAAATATAGCATTTTCTTTTTAAAATATTTAATTCAAAAATTTTATAAAGTAATAGTTTACGAACTCGATTATAGGGTAGTTACGTTTAAATTATTTAAAATCTAATTCATTACTTTGGTTTTGCAGCTTGAGGATATCTATAAAAAAGCCCACCAGGCAATTCGTAACGACCCTACACACAAGGTCACCGCTAAGAAGTCTTCTGCCGTTACGAAGAAAAGGTGGAATGCTAAGAAACTCACAAACGAGCAACGGAAGACTAAGATTGCAGCTCATAAGGCAGCTTATGTTGCTAAGCTGCAATCTGAAACTGAGGCATAAAAGAAATCGTCACCCGCTTCAGTTTACATTGGTGTAATAATAAATAAACAGTTGTAATGACGCCAGCGGCAATTTATTATTTCTGGGAAACTCAATTCTTTAACCTGTCAATGGGGCGGTATGTGGAAGATAAATTCGCCGACTCGCGTGTCAGAGTGCAAACCAAAATCAAATCAAAGCCGGTATGGTTTGAGTACTTTTGATTTAGGACGCAGCGGACCAATATAATATATGTATACTCAATTCACTGCTCAACCTTTCTCTAGTAACTCATAAATGTAATGAATCTTATATACTTAAACAGGATTACTATCCGAGTTGATCTGGTCATGACGCATGAAAGCAGTTCACTCGGGAACTATATTAGCTACAAATTTAAAAACAAGCATGCAGCTTGTACAGATTTAGAAGCAGCGAAGATTTGTTTTACAAGATAGCCGCCCGTAAAACAGCTCACACGTGTCACCCCCATACTTTTCAAAATGGTTCGCTTTCTTATTTGTCTTGCCAATTTCTATTGCAAAAAACATTTAGGCAACGCTTACTCTAATGCCCACAAACTGCACAATACTCCCTCTTGTTTGGATATTTTTTGTATTACATATTTGTCTTGAAAATTTCTCAAAACGATCACGCCAATTTCTATCTTGTCACTTTCTATGCCTAACGGCAACAGATTGCCCAAAACGTTCACGTCACTACTTTGTTGCAGTTGGAGTCAATGATAATGGGGCTTTATCGATAGGTAGCACGATATGGTGATGGTTTTGGTGAGAAGCTTTCGGAAACCTGTTGGGCGATCTAGCCGTTTGATTTAATTCCGGATTGCAGGGATTACTCTTAAATGGCCTGGATCCACTGTACCCGGTTCCTGGGTATTCCGTTCGGCGTCGCCGCTAGTCCTGGCGCTGAAATTATAGTTCAACTAGTCTTATTTTTCGTATTAATGTAAATTGTGTTTGAACTTAACTCAATCATTGTTAAGCAATCCAGAGTAAAAATCGCGAGTCCGAATCATCGCCGTCGTGCCGCTTCAACTGCCGCTAAATTTGGGTAGCAAAAATTTAGTTAGTCTGACAAGAAAATACAACACGTACTTACCACTTGTTTGCACGTCCCGCCTTATCCTTGGACTAGGTGAACCACATATATGTATATATGTCCGCTTTCTGTGCAGCCATCATACGCAGCGTCAATTGCGAGGCAAGTTTCCACGGTGTCTTGTAAATCTCCCGGGCTTTGTATAATTACCGCTTTGACCTTTCACAAACGCGACTCTGACTTATTTATAAGGGGTGACGTCCCGCAGAATCCTCCGGGCGTCCTAGGTTGAGTGTGTGCGCATGGTTACAACACCAACGGCCACAAGAATTTTTATTTCCCGTCGTTTGTTTGAATTAATTCTTCTGATTAGCTTTTTTTGTTTTTGGTTATTAGAGATCGTAGGTCTTTAGTGTTGTGAGAAGTCGATAGTTATTGATGTCTATGTGTATGGAAAACTGCATCCTGAGGAAAACCTTAGCGAGCGGCACTGCCATAAGTAAAGAAAAAAAATCAGTTCGTAACAATAAAAAAACCAAAGAAATTAATACGAGGCGACGTTGTCTCACCATTTATAGCCCTGGCGACTCCATCATCACAAATGGTTGCTTGCAGGGCGAACTGCAACTGCACCAGAAATGGTGACGGAGTAGTCATACAGCTGGGTAGGGTGATAGGCAGGACGGGAGGCTTTTCAGCAAGAATAACTGAAATATTGCTCCTGGGCACAGGTTTCTGATCCGATGGTGTCATCCTTTCAAGCGGAAGCCAAGGATTTGTATCACGGCGTGCGCTCCAAAATAAATCTGTGATAATCCTGTGGTAGCGTCGAGCAATAAGCTTGTCCTATCTGTTAGTCTGTTGTACTTATGAATTATTTTTGGGTTTGTTTAGTGCACTAAACATTTTAAGCGGGTATCTTAAATGCGAGGCCGTGACGGTCTCCGCGAGATGTGAGAAATGCAGAAGAGAAGGAAAAACTTACAGGAGCTCTAGGTCAACCGATGTCTTTAACTCGCAGCTATCACCAAGGGTCCAGTTGACGAACTGTTATTGATATTATTTGTTATTATTTTGTTATACTTGTTATTATTTTTTGTATACTTGTCTTATTTTAATTATTTGAATATTTATTTTTTTTTTATTAAATTTAATTATGTGTATTTATTTTTTTATTTATATTTATTAGTTATCCACATTTATTTATTTAGGCTTATTTTAATTAGGAAAATCTATTTATTTATTTATATAGATAGTTATTAGCTATTTAAATTGATTTAATAAAAATAATGTCGAAAAATGAACGTTCGGGGCTGGTCACGACAACCAGTTGAGGTCGAAGGGACCTCCCGTTTTGGCGAAGACGAACTCTGGTCAACGGATGACGAGGGTGCGGCTGGGTAGTCGCATATGTCGCTGGCTGGGGTGTTGGACGGATAAGGGGTCGGCCCCGATCGTCAAGGAACATTGATATTAAAACCATAATCGAGGAAATAGGAAAGCCGCAGGTTCAAGATGAAGAGGTTCACGAGAAGCGGAATTCGGAACGCGACACCACAACGGAATCGGCGGTAAACGCCGCCCTTGCACAAGCGGCGCACACCTACCGCGCATCGCAGGAGTGCGGAGTTTGCGAGGCGTTGAGGGACGGTTTTCTTGACATGATAAGGATGCTGAACGATGTGTTGAGACCAACGAAGAAAAGCCAGCGGCCACCGACTCCAAGCGGACAAGCCGGCCATAGATCCCGGTTTCCGGTAACGCATGTAGACCAGCGGAGAGGCCTTACCATTCATCAGACACGGGTAGAGGTTATCGCGGACCACCGGAATTACCACCCAGGCAGCGCCATCGGCAACCAGTCCTAGACTCTCCGGATGTTGAAAGCAGCGGGGCTATGAACCGGAGTTCCTGCAAGTTCTGAGGAACTTGATGTCCTACTATCGGGAAGAGCGAAGGAGTAGTACTGGGCAGCAAAAAATTATGCGGCTGAACTTGCTGCATGTCCATAGTGAAGACGATCCGCACTAGACCCCGAAGCGCAGCGAGAGCAGGATGATGAAACTGTGGGGTCAGGGGCCAAGGTTTCCGGGATTGCGCCGCTTTGGGTGACACCCAAAAACGTGGAAGACGTCCGGCTGGGCAATTCAAGAGCGGGAGGGATTTACCCAGTCAAGAAAACCGTAAAGTAATCATGGAGACAGGATTAAGTAGTAACCCTGATAGTTGTTAGTCTAAACTAAAACTCTTACCAGCGGTAGCACGGATACGACGCTATTAAGAGGTCTGTTAATCTATTAATAGAATATTTACGGAACATCAGATGAGCGGTACGTGTCTAGTTTCAAAGAAGGTTCAAAAGGCGAGGGACCGCTTTAGGATTAAAAGATCTAAGCGACTCGAGGACCCTAGACCATTCGCAGAAGTGAATATCCAGAGGTGTCAAAGGCTTGTTGGACACTGGAGTCAGTGTCAGCGTGCTGGGCAATGACCGCACGAAGCTCAATCAGTCTTACTTCTCGGTGGTGAGAACGGCGTCTGGCGAAGACCGGTTCATTATCGGACGCTTGGATCTGCCGGTAATTTATGGAGGAATAAGTAAAACAATATCGTTAGATTTCTGGCAATTGTTCGGCCTAGCACCAGCAGTCTGGTGTTCTAGCACCAGAGATGTACGAAGCAAAAGAGGAGCCGGAATCCGGAACAGAAAAGGGAGGGTTTAGGAAGGGTCAAGAATGAGTTCCTAACCTTTGAACGGGATAGCCCAGGAGTGTCTACCGTGGGAAAGTATTTTATTGAGCTATTCGAAGGAGCACGAGACTTCAAGCTTCGATCCTATCCCATGTAGTTGAAGTAGACAAGCTGCTGGTATTGGGAGTCGTGGAGGTAAGCAAGAGTCCGTCACTACAGTGGCGGAATCTCACTACATTGGTGTCCAAAACAGGAAAAGACAGATTTTGTCTGAATGCCCGTAAGCTGAACGCTTTAACGCGAAGGTCGCATATCATCTCCCCCTGTTCGACTAGAGATCCTAATTGATATAGTAGGTAGTTGGTATAGTAGGTATCTCCAATGTGGATCTCTAGTTACCATTCTGGCAAATCGAACTGGATTCCAAAAACTAGGAATACACGGCGTTTACGGTTACTGGGAGACCGTTGTATCAGTTCCTAATGATGCCATTCGAACTGTGCAACGCAGCGTAACGCTTGGTGTGGCTGTTGGACCGGGTGATACCATTGGAGCTGAGATCCAATATTTTTGTTTATCTGGATGACATTCAAATATTTTGCTTTAAATCATTAACGTACCTCGGGTTTATAGTTGGAGATGGTCTGCTGCGGATGGACCCCGTGTGAGTTTGCCGATTCAGAGTATGACACACCCGAGATTTATGAAGGAAGTACGAGCCTACGCTACACTGGAAGCACAACTCTCTGAGGCCTTAAAGAAAATCAAACAAACAAAGTTTACCTTAAGTCCCAGCGCAGCACGGGCACTAGAGGATCTGATTGGCTCTGACGAGCGCACCGATCCTGGTTCATAAGGATTTCATTAAACATTTTTTAATCCAGTGCGACACATCTCATGTTCGCGTCGGAGCTGTACTGTTCCAGCGGAACCAGGACGGAAAGGGGTAGCCGACCGCGTTCCTCTCAGCCAAGATTAATAAACATAAGGTGAACTTCATTGTCACAGAGAAGGAGCGTCTGGCAGCCATTCTAGCCATGCAGTTCACGTGTATCACCGACCACGCCTGTCTGAAGTGATTTGATGACAATGAAAGATCTGTCGAGACGACTCTCCAGATGGTCGCTTCAGGTACTACGATACAATTTCAGCATCGAACATCGCAAGGGAAGCAATAACCTTGTGGCCGAAACACTGTCCCGATGGGTCCAGGAAGTCCTGACAGATCCAACAAAGTTATTGGGGTTTCAGGTGATCGAATTTTCTGCGGAAGATGTGTGCAAGAGTTAGTGCAAGAAGTTGGGAACAATAAGAAGCACTTACCGGACTTCAAAGTCGTCAACGGACTCATCTTCAAGTGGAGCGGAAATACAAACTTGAGTGATGAAATGGAAAAAGCTGAATGGAAGCAAGGGCCATGGTGGAATGGCAAAGACACTGGAGATCCGGCGACGATACTTCTCCTGCCCAGGTATAACAACACATGTTCGTCCGAAGATGTGAGATGTGTAAGGAGACCAAAGCGCCTAGCTTCAGGATGCAAGTGGGGATAGAAAGAAGAGTAGAAACTTAAAGGCCATTAAAGGTCAGAAACTCTATATCGACTTTCTAAGCAAGTATCCGATTTCCAGAAGTGGTCACGCATGGATATTTATCGTAGTGGGCCATAACTCGAAACACATTTTCTTGAATACTATCAAGAAGGCGGCGACGGCAAACGTAGTAGATTTTCTGGCGCACGAAGTTTTTTACAAGTTCGGTGTCTCTGAAACGGTACACTCGGACAATGGAAAACAGTTCCCGTCTAAGCAGACGTTTGAGGAGATGGTCGATGTGTTCAGTACTCACCCCAAAGCAACGCAACAGAGAGGGTGAACCGAAATGTGCTAGTTCAATTCTGAGCTTCTGGGACGAGGACTACAGAGAGTGGGATGCGCATCTGCCGGAGATCGAGGTGGCCATACGGATTACTGTCCACACAGCCACAGAAGAAGCTTCGTTCTCCTGACAGCTGTGGTCTCTGTGCGACCTTATGGTGGCAGGGATGCCGGCAAAGGATATGTTTGGGTCAGCCACACCAAAGAAAGCCCGCAAAAATTCTGTGTTGCGTAAAGTTATTTATTAGTCATTTGTCCTTAGAGTAAACGGGGTGCCGCCGTCGTGACGCTGATGACATTATATGCACCGCCAATTGAGTGAGTTTTCTCTGTCTCGCAGCCGCCAGCAGCATCTAAATTTATGTCCAGTTGTTGTCAACATTGGAGAAAACTTTATCTATGCGAATCAGCTGGAGATCGCGCTCTCTTGTACTCTAGCCTGCATCTTTCTCGTTGCGTTATGCTGTTCGCTCTGTAATATTCGCACTCTTGTTTTCGTGCCCCATGCATGCGCATCGCTGCCAAATTTCTCGAAGAAACAATAATAAAAATCACTTGAATTCGCTACCATAAAAATCGTCTTTCATTCGCAAAAAATGCTAATAAAAATACTTGTTAGCCAAAGGTGATTTATACATATATAAACAATATTAATGCAAATTATTCAAAGCTGATCGAGGAACTGAAACAAACGTTTCGGAAAGTTCAGAGCGAGCTTGAAAAGCTTGACTTTGATCAAATTGAATGCGAGCGATATGAGTGAGAAATTGATGATGTTTTCATAACTTACATCCTTAGTTCGTGGGGAGATCCACGCCGACTCAACCTTTGCATTTCTCCGTGCGATTTTGGCCATCAGAAACGTTCACTCC